GTTTCCATGACTAAAACTATGGTGAGAGCATCAGCCTAGTATGGTTCCAGGAATAACCTACATATCAGCTCCGCTCTGCCAAGAACACGGAGACTGGTTATTGAGATGAATGGTTTTGGTTAATATGCACCGCAAAGTAGAAAAAAAAGATGCCTTTATATTTTAGTTCATAGATAATTGTCGAGAAATTGTGTATGGAGAGAAATAATGTATGGTTGGGGAACAGAAATATAAGCCTTGAACTTCCTATCCTGAAAATATAAATCACTGCAAGTTTTAACGCACTTGCATGAGTCATATGCAGAGGTCATAGACCAAATTTGCTGATGGAAGCAGGATGAAACAAATTCGGCTGCATTTTTATGATATTTTTCCTTCTGCTCTTAGCTTTTTATTTACCCAAAGTAATATAATTTTCCAGAGAAGTGTAACAGCTCCAACATATGGAACTGCTATCCAGTTCACTGCTTAGGTGCAGAACTGAATGGGAACAGTGGTGCGTCAATAAATAGCTTACTGCATGTCAGGGAAAGTAGTCTCTCAGGAACCATATTGCCAGCTTGGCAGGATTCTAGAAACAGAGATCTCGAGTGGAATTGGTGCAGTAATGCAGTCAGTGAATAGGGCCCGGGCATAAAGGAAATCCAACTCGAGTAACATGAAGACTAAATGGAAGGCAGAGAGAGAGTTACAAGAAAGAGGGGCTTGTTAATGTACAGGTCTATAAATCAAGGGTTTTTCCTCTTACTCTACCACAGACTTTGAGCCAACTTTGGACATCCTTGTGAGTCAGTACACTGTAGTTCTTCTCTTGAGAAATAGTATCATGACACTGGTAAGCTGTTTGGTAATCAGTTGTGCTGCCTTTACTCTTGCTGAGTAATATTTTTGTGACACGAGAGGAATTGGCAGGAGTTGTGATTTAGATCTGATCTGCAGACTAGTTTTATGCTGCTGAGATTCTGCTGACTTTGAGGTTGTTTCTGTATTTTCAGTAGCATTGCTGATGTTTAGATTTTGATCCAGCATAACTTTCTTGGAAAATGAGAGAAGAGTTATTCCTACATTCAGTTTAAAATGTCAGCACATAACAAGCCAACAAGTCTGGCTCCAGGTGAAGGTTTTAGACCTGAGTGTGTCTTGATTTAATGTCAGGGAATGAGACTTGCTTGTTAAGAGAGAGAGGCTGTATTATTGAGTGTTCCAAATGAACTGATTTTGTGTGCATGTATGGTTGTAGTAAAGATTTTGTTTATGATATAAGGCATAAAAAGGTGTGTGTATTTATAGGTATAACACCACTCTCTTTCTCCTGTGTTTTTAGGGAAAAGGGTAATGGGCCTGCCTGTGTTTAGTGACATTTGGGCCTTGCAAGGTGCACTACAAATAATAGCAACATTCTGGGGGAGCTGTAATTTCTCGGGTACTTGTCAACATATTTTCAGCTATGAGTTAGTTAAATCATAGGTGAACTGTGTCATGTCAGTGGTATTTTATTTCTGTCAACAGTCCTAATTTTTTTGCATTTGCCACCTAGATCTAGTTGAAAATGCCCCTTTTGAATGTCTTTTGTCAACATTCACCTGTGTTATTTGGGTAGGTGTTTCATAATTTGGATTTTAGCTCCAGTGAATGGGGAGGGGAGGTTAAGTGCCACCCCTGAAGTCCTAGATGCCAACCTCATGCCATTCTTATGAGAACTGGGGAAGGCACAAAGGCAGTTGGGAGATAACTCTTTCCTCACTGCACTTACACACCAATAGATGTCGGCACTGCCAGGAGTTTGACCTATAATTTCTTGGTAACTGAGCGTTTTATGTGATTCCCAGTTTGCATGACTCGTTTCTGCTTATGTATAACATACAGGGTCTGTCTTCTCTTCTTCCATGCCATTCCTGACATTTTAAATTCAGGTAAATTAGATTTAGACTTTTTGTAATGAATCTGCATCATTTTGTGTTCTGCATACTCCTGAAATAGCCTGGGGGAACCTGATAGACACGATTTATGTGTGTCATTTAGAGGCATAAGAAAGCATCTGATTGATTTAGTCTTTCTTTTTTTAGCTCTTTCCTATAATTCTAATCATCGTTTTACTTTACCATTGCACTATTGAGGAAAGTATGGTTTTTCAAAGGCAGGATGCCTTCTGTACTTAGAAGTGATGTTACTTAAAGGAAGATGGCTTGGAGGTCTTTACAGAAGACTTTCTCTTAGTGATTCTAGTCATAGCTCAAGATCGAAGTTTGCAAGGCAGAAATATGTCTGACATTTATTTCACGGACGGTAAGTTTATTTGCTTCATTTTTTGTATTATTTCCTGATTTTCAACAGAGTAGGATATCGGTAGGATGATTCTGAGCAGCACTGAGCTCTACAGCTGAAAAACTGTGTGAAAGCAGAATTGGGTGCTGATACTGCAGTGCATTGCATGTGGCAAAGAGAAAAAGGACTGATGAGATTTGGCAGTATTTCCTAGGTAGTGAGATGCTTGGCTTCTAGTCTCTGTCACTTCTGCACAGAGCAGAGCAAAAGAGAGAACCATTAAGGTAATTTTCCAATTGAAATCAGTAAGTAAAAACAGTTAGCCAAGTTCTCTTCTGATATCAATGTCCTTCTGTTTGCTTTAGTAAGGCTGTGCCCATTTGCAGTAGCTGAGAATTAAGCTGTTGCTCCCATCCCAACCTTTCTGATGACTTAACATAATTTTTTAAGCATAAAAGTCTTGTTTCAGATCTGGGGTTTGGCTTATATGTTTAAATTGGAGGGTTGTCAGTCCTCATGTAATCAGCACTTTGAAGAAGATCCATGAGTGAGGTTAGGTAAAACTGTGGGTTTTTTTCCCTACTACTATCTGGATTTTCTCAGAACCTAGATAATTTTATCCCATTTGCATCAAACATGCAGGTAACTTTAGAATCCTGCATCTGTATTGTTTCTAGGGAAGCAAAATAAAATTACAAATGACAGTAATTGACATTACATGCTTTAATTGAATTTCCTCCTCTGTGAACCAAAACCTTTTAACCAAGTATTGCAGTGCTATTTCTGTATTTATTTGTTACATGGGTTAATGTGCTATGTGGCAGATCCAGTATTTATCCATTTTCACAAATTAAGCTATCAGTGTCATGTTGCCTTTGAATTGTTTCCTGTATTGATGGCCAAAACGGCTTGAATAAGACTTTAGTCCTCCCTGGCTGTACTTCTGTTTTTACAAAGCTGAAAATTGCAGGGTTGAAAATGAGCCCTTAGGAACAGTTTGGGAAACTCTAGGCCCAAAGCATCTTACCAATGTGCTTTTTTTCTTCCTACTGTGATCTCTGCTAAAGGAAGGGGGAAGTGCACAGGCTTTTTGAGTGATGATGTTGTTGTTATATTACAGGAATTAGAAATCAAGCCCTGCTTGAATTTATGTTTGTGGCAAGTGGAAATGGATTACAGACAGAATGAGTAGGGTCCCCAAAATATGCACTTCAGACCTACTATTGTCAACTTCTTTCCATGTTATACTCTCAGAGAAAGCAGCTCTGCTTTAGCCAATTTCCACCTTTCTTACTCTGCTGTAATCTCACCTATTGCCTGGACATGATCTTTTGTCTACTACTGTAGGTATACAAACAAAAAAAAATCATTTACTATTTTTGTAAAATAGCTAATTTTGTGCATGCAAAACCGTGCTGCTTTGTACACAGGTATAAATAATCACTTGCAAAACAGCTTGAATTGATGATGCAGGTTGCTGTGGCTTCAGGCTTTGTAAATTTTCATTACATATAATCATGTTCAGCATCCTCTGTGATGTTTCAAGTGAAAAATGGTTTTCCTTTAGCTGTACTTATCTCCCAAACAGGATTGTCCCAGTAAAGTATCTGGGACACTTACAGTTCTATTCAGAATTTAAGAAAAGGAAAGCTTGGTAAAGAACTACCAGCTCAGTATTGTCCTGTAACTGAATGCTGTTATTCAGCAGTTCAGCAATCCAGTTTTCCAGTGCCAGAAGGCAATGGGACTCCAGGAGTCAGAACGGGGAGCCCCATTACTACTTGTGAGTACAGCATGAAATGGAAATGTTGGCAGGGGAAAGCTGCTTTTAGGAGTGACCCAGTAGCCACAGACCAATGTGTATCAGAGACTCCTTAGAACTGGAGAAGAATGTGGTTTCAGAACTGTGATGAGGACTCCATGACTTTTTTTGCAAGGAATCACATCTGATATGAAACCTGGGGGATAAATGTTGCGTAGCACAGCTGAATAACCCTGAACAATAAATACTGCTCAGTTTTCCACACTTGTCTTTTGGCACTGGTATTTTAAAGGAAGTTCAATTGGAAACTAGAAAGGTAACTACTTTCCATGACTTAGAAATGAGCCAGGGATGTGTCACTTCCCTCATCCTGCTCCAAGTTGAAACAGACACTTAAACATTTTACAGCTTCTGAAGAGTTTCAGTCTGTAGAAAACTTCACAGGAATTTGATTTTTAGTCCAAGCAAGTAATTGCTTTAGATTAGTGTCCCTCTTTGGAAGGACCTATAGACCATAAAACTAGTTTATTTCTTACCAGTAGTTTATTATTCTTTTGATGGCTCATACCTCTCCTTTCCTTTGCTTTTTAGCTTTTTATATGCCTTTTACTGCTTCAGAGCTTAATCCTCATTCCATGTGAGTTTTGCTAATTATTTCAGTTGGGAAGTATTTTTAGAGAAAAGGGTACTTTTACCAGGACCTGAATTTGGTAATATCCCACATGCACCTCAAATCTGGAAACAAGCTTCAAGGATTCTGAAACTCCTGTTGATCAGATTCTGTTTCACAAACAAACAAACAGAAATATTGCTGTGTCTGTACATAGACCTTTCCTACACTTTGAGGGGAACTATGACTTTATTCAGTTGTAAGGGGAAAAGGTACAAATTACCTAGAGCAGAAACAGACTGCGATCACTAAAAACGTGTTTTACACTTGCCCTTTGAGCACTTTGTTTAGTTATATGACTGATAACAAAAGCACACAATCAAAACTGCATCACAGCCTTCAGAACACAACTCACCAAGCTGCAAAAAGCAGATTTAGTTTCTTTTGCAGATGGTCTATGAGTCTCATGTGGCATCATATTAAATTATAAAGGCAGTCAGTCGCTTGTTCTGAAGCGATGCTCCGAGCTGAGAGTTGTGATGTGCTTGGACCATTCTGTTGAAAAACAGGCTCTAAAGCTAATACAGCTTCTCTGAAGAGCAGCAGCAGAGGGGCCTGCGAGGGGCTTCAAACACCTCGAGGACTGCAGTCCCCCCTGGGATGCACTATGAGGGTGGCCCAGGGACCCCACGATGGGCTGTGGAGCGTTTTGCCCTAAAGGTAGGAGACCAAACTGACTCGGTTTCTGTGATACTTTAGGAGCATTGTTTTCTAACCATGTGTATATCAGTGGCAGTTATTTTTTTGTTTTGTAATGTTTTGGAGATAAGAATGGGAGTATATTTTCTTCTTACCCTTGTCAGACTTTGTTTTTCCTGGGTAAAAGAGGAGGAAAATACAGCAGTTAATTTTGAATGCTATTCCATGAAAATGTTTCTGCAATATTAGTGAGATAAAATTAGCTATTTAATCCTAGTGGTGTTTCATAAGAGTATATGTTTCTGTTAGTTTCGGTTTGGTACAAATTCAGTCCTTAAGTAACACCGGCTCCAGTGTGAAAACAGTGATTTTTATCAGCTACAAGCTGTAGTTGAGAGCATTCTTGGGATAGAAATCTCAAATGAGCTATGTGTTATACAGTAGGTAAGTTTTAATATTCATGCTTATTAAAATGAAAATTTTGTGGTACTATACACTCTCTAATAGGAAAAGAAGGCTGCAGATTATTTCTGAGAAACTCCAAATGTGTTGGTGCTATGAAGTAAAACCCATTTAAGGTTATTTATTTAGATTATTGAGTTGCAGGTTTTGGTATGTTCACCTGCAAGGTAGGAAATACAGCCACAGCTACTATTGATATGATTACTCTTCTTGCTGAAATTGATAACAACCCATGAAATGCATTTAACAGGTAGGAGTTTACACAGTGATGTTTCCCTTGTCTGACAGGTCTTGACAGGTGGTAGCAAGTGCTTCTCCAAACTTACAGCTTGTTTGGAATTTCTTGGAAAAGATAGTTGCAATGCATGTGCAGTTCAGAGCTGGTCCTCACAATAACATGTGAACACCATAATCAGATTAACTGTTCAATAAAGTACTTTATTTTAGGGCATTTGGGAATTGGAGCAGCTGTTTGAGTTTTATAAGGAAATAAGCGAGATTAGGAATGCACAGGAGGGTACTGGGCAGGGCCTGTGAAGGGCAAGGCACAGGGCTGGATGCAAATCATTACTACTGGTTATATGGAAAGAAGGATGTTCTCTTTGCTGTGACATGAATTTGGAAAGCAAAAGTATTCTTGTCCACTCTATGTCAGGCTAAGTGTAAAATTACAGACAGGTAAGGCTGTATTTTTAAGTGCCAAGCTTCCACTTTACAAGTGCAATTTATGTCTCCAGAAAGGAAACATGTAGATGTATTCCTTCATCTAGAATTGCATCACTTTCAATGCTGCAAAATGGGGATAATTCTGGTTTTTTCTGTTGGTGGTGTGTTAAATGAATTAATTCTGTTTAAGGGATTTGAGAACCTAGACTGGAAAATGTTCATTTATTTCCTGCTCAAATTGAGAACTAACTCTGCTTTCCTAGGCCAAACATAGTTTCCAGTTTGTGCTACCAAAGTCCTGTCTTGCATCATCATCTTACACTTTTGTGTAAATATGTTTTAGGAGAATAGCACAGCCATACTACTGATCACGCCACACTGTGATTTATGTCAGCTGACTGAAGTCCTCCCTCTAGCCAGGGATTGCCACAGCCCTAATATTTCTGTCCCTGAAATGGCCTTTCAAGCTGTATGGCTGGGAAAAGCAGAAGGACTTCCACACATCAGATGTGCATCTTGCTGGTGCACACTCCTGTGAGATAAGGATGGGGAAGCAAGTTTACCTTTTCTGCAGTCCTTGTTGTAACAGTCAGAGCCTGAAGCTTTTCTGCTCTCAAATACATGTTAACCTCCCCATTGGCGAGAGAACCCCAAAGGGCAGCTTACTCTTCAGTGTGCTAGAAGGTATATTTCTGCCATTTTAAGGTTTCATTTTTTTGCCTTTCACCAGATCCGGTCCATTTTTTTAAAGAATGTATCTGGGTTTCTGTTGATCCAGCCAAAGCCACAGCCTTGTTTTTCCATGTTGAAGGCCTGTCTTTAGATCCCAGTTCCCAAATTAGATCCTGATTCTGTCCTTGACAAGAAACTTCAATTCCCTAGGACATATTGCAGAGATTTTTAGAAACCATCTGTGTGGTAGGCACAAATAATAAACATAGCAAGAAATTGAAAATCTTTAAAGTGGAGGGGAAAAACAGAATTAGATGTTGCAAGTTAATTCTCCTTTGTTGTACTGAATCTTGAGAACCATGGTTAGATGCCCAGGGTTGATACAGAAGGTAGCAAAAAATGGACTGCAAACTACCAGTTATGTAAATTAGTAATACAACTACATATTTGTATTCATAATTATTTTAATTTCTGTGGGTGACTCTCACCCTATCTTTCATGTGTTAGCTTCTCGTCCAGCCTTGGTGTCACCCCCAAACTTCATCTTGGTTGCCTTTGACACCAAAGAAAGATCATATTAAGGTGGTTTTGGCTTTGTTTTTTTTTTCCTTCTGGGGTGTAGAAATGCTTGACCACTTACCACAAATCTTTTGATCCTTTGACACAAAGTCATTCCTTGAAGACAACAAGATGCTTATATTAAAACACAAATAGCTCTAAGAACTACAGTTTGAAAATAGTGGCCATTTGTGATACATAAACTATTTTTCAGTCTCTGAGAAGAGACTTCAACTTTCCAGTAAATGTAGTAAATTTTCTATTTCTTTCAAGAAAAAGCAGTCATCTAGATGACTGAGATGCAGTAGGTCTAACACTTAACTTCTTCTCCTTCAAAAACAAGGCTTATATACACAAGCAGAAAAGAGCAAGAAATTCAGGAAATCCTCAGCTTGCTACTAGTGTGCCCTCACATTCCTAAGAACTATTTTTGGGTTTTCTCTCAGGAATAGCTAGAACTTGTTGAGCTGGGAAAGACTTCTTGGAACAGATCCTTGGTTTTGTCTTCTCTGCATGAGTGCCTCATGTTGATGTTGGAATAGCTACTATGAGCGGGTTGGTGATTCACAAAATGAGGCAAGTCAGCCCTACAAAATCAGCTTCTCCACTCTGCAATGTTTGGAAAAGAACTGTTGCAGCAAGCTGTTGAGCATATAAGATGAACAATTACCTCCTCTTGCTTTGGGCTAGGACTGCACCAAGAGGTCTGTCTGCCTCTCCTCTGGATATCGCTATCTGCAGATTTGTTGTAACTTGAGAGATATCAAAACATCAGTGAGAAGGATAAAAATGCTTCCTCTTTCTGTCTCTCTGTAGCGCCAAGTGCTCTGTGTAATTGTGAGATACCTCAATAAATCAGTTTAGAGGTCTCTCAATACTTACCTCAGTAAGTTGGAAATCTCAGCTGTCAAAGGATTTGTTTCAGTAAAATACTTTGAATATAGGGATACCATGAGCAGACCAGCCAACAACCTGCAAATGTCTGTTTCACTAAGACCCTGTGTAGGTACCTGAGGCTGCTTGGAGTTTTCAGGCTGGGGTCAGATTCAGCACAGCACATTTTGATAACAACTTGGAATGGTCACAGCATTTCTCATATGCATGATTTATTCTTCAGTGGGAGTAAAAATTAGTGTCAATTGAACTTTTGTCTGTATTTGTTCCCAAAGCTGCCTGTTGGGTTTCTTTTTTTTTTTTTTCAATAGGATTTTAAACACTCCTGGAGGGTGACAAGCTTCTCAAAACATCTGCAGATACTGCTTATGTATTTTAAAAGATGTGTTGAGAGAATGTGTTGAAGGAATGAATGGAATGACTGGCATCTGTGTTAGCTTGACACTGCACCACTTATTACCTCTTAGAAACTACAGGAAAATTCAGAGAAAGAAGGACTGAGTTTGCTCCCTGATTTGTTGTTTTTTACCTACTCAGACCAGACATTTGTCAGTCTATGGAGGCTTCCCCCCCACCCCCGTTAATTGCAAAAAAGAAAGAAACAGCAAACTAGTCGCTGAGGTACTTCAGGGTGACTTCAGACTTTAAAGATTAAAGTTCAAGGCAATAAGCATTTAATTTGTATTGTTGTATTGCATACGTGAAAATCAAATAATTGCATTTCTCCCATCTTTCTTTGTGAACAGCATTACTCCTGTTCTTTTTGTGTGCATGCCATGTTTGGTTTAATGGAGAAATGAGAAAAGAAAATAGATTCTTTTTTGGAGACTGAGTACTAATGCAGAAACATTAAAGACAGGCACATTGTTGTCAGCCAGTTTGCATATTTATTTACTTTTACAAATGGTTGGCTTGGAGTCAGCAGTTAATGGAATGAGAATGATGTTCCTGTACAGATCATTTCCTGAGAAACATTTTCAATTACAAACATATCTCTGCTTTTCTTCCCTCATTTGTTATGTCTTGGAGAATAAATGGGGAGTAGCATTTACAACTTAAGGTTTATGTTCTGAAGACAATTTTAACAATGATCCCCACATAAAAAGTCCCTTTTGTAGTTGCAGACATATGTTTATGATGTTTTGTGCTGTGAATATCAAATTTCTGGTGGACGCTGTGTCACACTCTGCAAACTTGTAAACATCTATAAATCCATTGGATCATTTTAGTACCATGTGTAATGCAGATTTATTGTCTTTTGTGTGGATTTCTTTTGTTTTGGAGTTAGAGCTGAGCTGCCAGAATCCATGTTGGATGAATTATGTATTCCAGAAAATTAGGCAGTACCATTTTAGATTAATATTTTCTTTTCCCTTTGTGGACTTACAAGATGCACACACACAAGTATTAGAAATTAACATTTTGGATGGATTGCCCAGAAAGCAATTGCATAAGTTTGCTTGCGTAAATAGTATCATTCTGTAAAAGCTCAAATTAAGACTTTTTGAAAATGTTTTTGCTATTTTTTTCTCTCATTCTCTACTGTCTGAGGTAATTTTGATCAGTTTTCATATGTACCAGTACAAATCCAGAATTACTCCACTGGAATCATATCAGCTTATAGAACTGGAGTATGTGAGAGGGAACAGGAATCACACTGAGCCAGTGAGCTGGTATGAATCAGCATGAATCCTCTGAAATCTGTGCAGATAGAGTCATTTACACTCAAGTCTGCATTGCAGGCCATCAAGTTGGTAGAAGAAATAAAA